GGCTTTCAAACTGGTGCTGAAACAGCCTTCCCTGCATGGTGTCAAAAGGAGAGATGGGAATTCTTCAAGCTGTGCTCCAGCCTGGAATTTCTTTCTAGGCAGCTGATGTCATTCCTACATTAAGTTTTACAAATGGATGCTGCAGGTTTTCTGTTCAGAATACCCATCCTAAATAGAGTTTTGTGAGAAATTACAATTTTCCCTTTCAGATTTCATGCTTGTGGCTAAGATCTCTTTGGAGATGCAGTTGTTCAGATTATACTGTGTAATAGCTAAGTACAATATCCCATTCACCCCCTTTAAAGTCTAACCCAGGAGACAAGTCTGTTGTGTCAGCATAGTACTGTGGGGTTTTTTCTTTATGTTTTATTACTGCCTTCTCCCAGAAGAAAAACAAATAGCTTTATGTACTTCTGAGCCTTATTCCTACACAGATACGGCACAATACTCTTTTGGCCAACCATGTTTTTAAGGAAAGGATGATACAGTTGTCCATAGTAATGACTGCACAGACAAGTAGAACAAAGTCCGTTTTTTCATCTAATTTTATTACACTGAAACCTTCATTTGGCTTAATAAAGTACTTAAATAGAGCTGTATTCCTTAAAATAGAGCTACTTCCTTCCTGGAACTTGATGTAGTTGTATTTCAAATATAAAGTATTAACTGGAACAAAATGTTACAACTTTGAGTGTGAACTAAGATGATGCATGTGATTGGAATTTTTTTATTGCTAATCTGCTGAGCTTCTGTTTAAAGCTCACAATCTTCAGCTGACGCTGACAGAACCAAGCCTCGTTGTGACATTTCTTCTGATACTGTTTTAAATCATAAGGTGAAGAAAATTAAGTACACACAAGCATAACTCCCATCTCCTCAAGGGAGGCACTTGTAGTGCGGTTTTGTGGGAGCCTCTTGCACCTGGTACTTGTGGCTGTGAGCAGGGGCTGAGCTGGTCCCAGCATTCCTGAGCCAGGCTCCCAGGCATCACCTCTGCTTGGGAATGGTCCTGCTTTGCAGCAGTGGGAAGAGTCTGGGCTTATGCTGGGGATCACAGAACGAGAGGTGTGTGGTGGATGGGTAAAAGGGAGGCTGGGCTGCACCAGTGTCTGTGCTCACTGTCCGTGCTCTCTCAAAGCAGGCTGGGGAGGCTGCAATACCCCAGGTATTGAAATTACCAAGCAAATCCATCACCAGTGAAGCAGAAAATTGTCACTTGCTTCAAAGAATGAGAAAGGAAAGCACTGCACACTTTCTTCATTGGCTTTTTGCTTTTTTTTTTTTTTTTTTAGCTTCTTCTAGACTGAGGCAAGAACTAGAGAGGACAAAGTGAGGAGATTAGAGAATACTGACTACACTGTTAGTGTGGTGGGGCAATGTATTTTTGGAGTGTTATTGCAGTGCTAGATAGGGAAAGGAAGTGGGGAGCTGGGAAAGAGATCCCCTGCTCAGTTTGGCACTGTCCTGGTGCTGGAAATCAGAAATCAAGTAATAGAATTTCACTATCTGGATCAGCCCCTGGCTGTCTGCAATATGTTCAGGAAATCACTTCCCATCCCTGCTTCCATTTCCTTGGCTGTCAAATGAACACAGCAATAACTGCCTCCTCTGAGTGCTCCGGCTGCATTAGAGCAATAAAACATTAGGGAGAAAGGAGTCATAGGTGTGATTTATGAATCCAGCAAGGTCAGGCTGAACTGCCTGTAAAAAGCTAAAGAAATCACAGGATGAGGGAGGGGTCTCCTGAAGCTGAGCAGATGCTGATGTACACTGTCCATGCCCAGGACTGCCTGAGGAGGTGACACAAATCTCTCCAGCCCTGTGTGAACAGCAGCAGCTAAAACCAAAGTGGTTTTTTGTTCTCCACCTTCCACATACCACCCCACTGCAGTGAGTCCTTCAAGCATTTGGTGCCATTGGTTTATTTCAGAAAGAGGTTCTGCTTGTTCAGTTCTTCCGTGTGGATGTTTTATTAAGATGCTCTGCATGGGTGTTTCCCTACATACAACTACTTACAACATGATTTTATACTTGAAGTCAATAAAATAAAACAACTCAGTGAGGTAAGATATTGAGATAAATAATTATGAGGAATGTTTATACACCATAAAAGTCTCCTAAATTTGATAATCATCAGTTCAAGCTAATATACCCCATGGTGCTAAAGAAAGAACAAAGGAATCAATATTGCAGAAGCTTTTACAGACAATTTATGAGCACTTTGTTCAGGATCAGTCCATAAAGACTGAAGCATAGCTAGCACTATGCACTTACTTATGAAAATGTTTACTGAGAAATCCCTTGTTGAATTCACAAACTGTTTCAGGGAATTAAATTGGGAAATACGGAAATGGGCTTTTAAATTTTTTTTTCCCATTTATTGGTGTATACTCAGAAGAAGAAAGCACTGTAATAAATTACCAAACTCCTTTGAGAAATGTGGCTGAATAGACAGTAACAGTGTCTCTGCCAAAGTTCTTGGGCATATTTGCTCCAGTTTCTCTTTTACAAGATAAGTGGATTAGTATGGACTGGTTTCTGGTAGGAGTTCCCCCCCAGCCCCTTAAGATAGACTTTTACTGTACTTAGGTACTTCCCAGTTAAGACAAAATTTGTAGCATAAATAGATACTAACATGCATCAGTCACTATCACCTTTCAAAGAGCTGGAAGCTGTTTTCTATGTCACACGTGATGCTTGCATGATCTGATGCTTGTTTCAGGTATTATTTACTGTCAGTATTCCTAAGAAAACGTTGCTGTGCTGTTTCCTTGCTGGAGAGTGTGCCAGGCACATGGGCTATCCCTCAGCCCGGGCCATGGCTGTGGATGGCTCCTGTGGTGCTGAATGAGGGAGCTGATGCCTCACAAGGCCCCAGAGGGCCCATCCTGCTCACAGCTGTGAATTGGAATACAAGCAAGTAAGGAGACCATATAGATAAGAAGGCTTGATGATGGAATGAATTAACAGGTATTAAGAAATGGTTGATAGTTGTGAGTGGAGGAAGCACCCAACACCCAGTGCCAGGCTAAGGTGAACAGCACTGCTAACATAAGCATAGGGGGATAAAGGGTTGTGACTGCAATTTTCATCTTCACTTTCCACTCTTACCTCCCTATTTACACACACAGACACAAAATCTGTCTTACATCTCTTGTTCCTTCAGATGGCAGGATTCTTACTGAAGCACTCACTTGGTTGTGTGAATAGTCTTGTCTGTCTCCCTGTGTAGTGAAGCTTCGTTCTTATATGCACTTTAAAGGTTTCAATGAAAAGCATCAAGAATCAGGAAAATCCTTGGCTGAGCAGATCATCATCAAAGTTACACCTGCATTGTGCCTTTTTGCCATGCTGCACCACCAAATCTCCCTCATATTTATCTTTATTTTGTGATGGTTGCATATTGGAGCACAAAACTCCACAGCAGAACCTGACAACTGTGTTTGGAGGGTGTCCTTATCACACCCCAGCCGGGGGGCCTTGATCTGGTTCTCTAAATGAAAGTCCAGTAATTCTGGTGAAAGGAGGGGATGGATCAGGTTTAGGACGTGTGATGGGTTTGTTTCATTGAAAACACTATGGTGAAATGATTTTTTTATTCTTATGATTATTAAGTAGCCTCAACAGTTTCAGGCTGCAGCCAAGATAAAGCTGTCTGGGTTTGTGTTAGGAGGATTATTCAGTTGAAATGTGTAAAAACATCTCTTACTTAGTCACTTTAATTTCATGGTGTTTTGCCTTACTAAGTTTCATCAAAGTGAAACTTTCTTGTATGTTTGCCCAATGTACTTCATGTTTTTATCTTTACCATTTTGTGTTTGCTTTAAGGGGATTGATTTCAGATTCCATCAGTAATTGTGGGAATGGGTGCTACTTTATTAATGCTTTGCAGATCATGGGTTTCTTGTTGCTATTTGCACCTCCCTCTGCAGCAACACTGAGCACTTGCTTGGTCCGTTCGGGTACTGCAGAGCAAAGAGGTATTGAGCTGAAAACCAGCAAAGAGAAAACAACTGCAAAACTACACAGAAGCTGATATCTCTGCTCACTGGCAGCAGTTTTTGCCCTAAGGCAAGGTGACAGTGGCATGTCCTCAAAGCAGGGTGCAGCTAAACATGATCAATATAGGCTGTAGGAATATCTACATGACAGATCAAGGGGAAGCCTTGTTTACACTCACGGTGGTGTGTGGTGTTAGGGATCTCTCCAGCTGCCAGTAGGTGACCTGAGTAACACTGTCAAATGTCCCCAGGGAGAGATGGGAGCACTGCATACCCAACCAAAAGGTGAAAGGGGAAGCAGAGGATTTGTTTAAAAGAACACAGACTCCTTCTGATCAGTGTTTGAAGTGGAAGCATTCCCAGGATCAAGCAGCCTGGGTTTTGACCTTTCTGCATGGCTGTTTACCAAATTTATTTGTGATTTCTCTGAGCCACCTCTCTTCTCTCTTGCACTGCAGCATCTCCATCTGTGCCTAGGAGGGCTCTAATGCCAGACTTCATGAGGGCATTGGTCACAGGCTGTAATTCAGACATTAATACTCTCTCAGCAATAAAAACCATTACTTGGATCTCCCCCAGGGAATTGTCCAGTCCTTTTGTATGAGCACTCCTTTGTTCTGATCTTAATTTTAACAGTTGTCTTGCATCATTGTTTTGATGAATCATATGTATCAAAATGTGTTTTCCTTTTTCCTGTTCTCCCACTTGTTTGTGCTTTTTTTCTTCTTGTTAGTCTTATTAAAATGTCTCCACTTTTGTTTCCCTTTAAATGTTTGAATAATTAGCAGCAGTGGGCACAGAAAGATTTCTGTCGATGTGAGCTGTATTGGTGTTTGACATGGCTTAATGAGTAGGGGAGGGGGGACAGTGGGGAGAGACTTTATTCAGCAGCAGCTTTCCAGCACTTCCTCGGTTTCCTGTTTGTAGGGAGAGCTTTCAGTCAGCTTTTCCAGCATTGCTCTAATTTCTAAATGCATGTTTTCCAAATCTATTCCACAGGTGCCAACAAAAAAGCTGAAGAAATATGAGAGAGAGTACCAAACAATGCGAGAGAGCCAGCTGCAGCAGGAAGATCCTATGGACAGATATAAGGTAGGGAGATGCTATATGGGAATTTGGTGAATCCCACAAGGAGCGAGCTGTCTCCAGCAGTTAAGCAGAGGTGTGTGTACCATGCTCACCTCCTTGGGATGTACCAGTGCAGACATTAGGGAAGTGATGGCGAAACTCATCCCCTTTCTTGAATAAGCACTTTAAACCTTTGGGCTTAAGTCTTTTTTTCCAAGAATATTTCAATCACAATTTGTAACTCTTAAGACATCTGCAAGTCGTCACATATAATATTTTTCTTCTTTCAGTTTATATGTTTGTAGGTAACTCTCCTGCTGTTGCACTTTTACGGGAGATCTTCATGAGCCGCAGAAATAAAGGGTGATTCAGCTACAGACACAGAAAGGAGAAAATACACATTGTTCTAGTGCAAGCTGTATGCAGCGGCATCCACAGAGACTTTGGAAGATGAACTCTTCCTTGGCTGATACAATCCTTATTATTCATTCCTGTTTATACCAAGCTTCAGTAATTTTTTAAGATAATACCTGTTCTGGTGGGACCCAGAGCTCTCCTGGGATCCTGAGGTACTACTGCAATAGAATTACTAGTGATGGATACTCCTCTTTAAAGGAGCAGAGAAATAAGATTCAGTTGTTAATGTGATAGCTTGATAGTTCACTGGAAAAGAACAGTTCTTCAATTTTGGGTCAGCTTTGCTTATCTTTACAATGTATTTGCTTTCATTGTCACAGCTACGTTCTGTTGCCGTAGGTTTTGCGTGCTGGAGGCTCTGCCTCTGGGCACAGACTTTACTGAATGTTCAGGATCTGGTTATTCCTCACTCTGTTTTGAACAGTTCAGTTGGCCCTAGGGGAAGGTGACAGGGGTGAAGCACTTTACTGCCCACTGCCCAGGATAGCTGGGAGCTGACTTTTCTTACGTATCCTTGTACTGTTTTCCTGCTGTTCTTCATTGTGCCTTAATATGTCAAGTGCTATGCGGTTGTTATGGAGTCTGCCAGGAGTGTGGAGTGGTGAATAATCAGAGTGCAGCAGGCTTGACATGGCCTTTAAACATAAGTGCACAACGTTCAGAAAACCGGAGTATGGAAATCTGTGGTGAGAGAGTGTGCCTTAATTCATAAATGTAACAAAGATTTACAGGTACGAAGTCAAACTGACTCTTTTTTTTTTTTAAGAAAAAAGCATTTGTCTGTGAGAAAATTATATTTTAAGTGTAGTTTTTTTGCTGTCAAAGGGTGGAAATTTTACTGTTTGTGAGACTTAGGAGTGCTGTAGCTGCTGAGAGCCAATAGCAAATACGACATATTTGGAAAAAACCACAACTGGCTGCTGATTAACTTTTAAGTATTTTTTTAGTGGTTCACTTATAGTACTGTGGAATTAAAATAATGCTTAGAAAACAAATAAGGGCTCTTTAAAGCTCAGTGGAAGCATATTAACTAGTTAATCCTGGTCAATGGATGGTAAAGAACATTATCCCAAGCTGCAAATGAGGATATAGGAAATGACTCTTGAGCCACTAGTGATGTGAGTCACTGTCACAGTCAAGATCACAGCCCAGGCTTTTGGCTTGTGCTTCTGAAACTCACTGTGGATTTTTTTATTAAGCTGTATTGGTCTGATCCTCTTAAGGATGCTGTGATTAGAGAGTCCCTGTAATAGGTTAGTTGCACATTAACTTCAAAGTCTGGACACATTTGTTGATGGGTTGTCATGGAAAAATGCTTGTAAATATTCTTTGTTCCTTGTCTTGCTTGTTAGATTTTATTGATATGTGAAGTTGAGGTTGGTAGGAACTGACATTTCAGGAGTGTTTCCAAAGGGCAGCCAGAAAATGTCACTTGTGTGGATCCTCCCAGGCAGCAGGTGGAGAACCAGCCTTGCATTCTGCATGTCCTTTAGGAGAGTGCTCTGCAGCCTGCATGGTCAGAGATGCATTTCATTTGGGCAGCACCCGTGCAGGGCTTTCACCAGCCAGGCTTGGCTTGGAAAAGGACAAAAGCCAGTCTTGCCTACAAGCACAGCACTGCTCTCAGCTCCTTCTCTGTGGGCTGTGCCCCACAGCCCTACAACCTTGTAATTTTTTCAGTTTCTCTTCCCAAAACAGAGGTTTTTGCTGCCTAGGAAGGGAATGTTTCTTGGGTGGGATCACTGGAGTAGAGATCCCTGCAGAATGTTCCTCATATGTTCCTCAAGAAGGAAAAGAGTTTTCAGTGGGTTGATAGTTTTTAGTTACAGTTTTTAGAACTTTTGTTACCAGCAGAAATTTGCCCACATAGACACCAGCACTTGAGAGCTGCAGGGATGAAGGATGTCTGAGTAAGACACCTCCCTGTGACACAGCCCTCAGAGGAAATGCCTTGATGGTCTCTTGAGAGAGGGAGATGGGCTGGTTTTGCAGTGTCTGGCTGAGTAACCAGTCGTGTTTGCCTGACAGCTTAAATTCATGTGCTCCCAGGAACTGTGGTAAACATGCAGCAGTTCCTGCCCAGCACGTCTTTTATGTGTTGTGATCTGACTTACCAAAAGAATAGTAATAAAGAGTGCCATGATTTTTGGTGTTTGTTTCTATATTTACAAGTATTACTTAGGAAAAGTGCAGATTTTTCTGGACATGTTTTCACTTTATTTTCCATTGCTATAACAAATTATTAGATTTTTAAAAGGTACAAAAGTGAAATATGTTCTAAATTGTTGTTTGTCACCAAATTTCATAACTTTTAGCTAAAGTAAATTACGAATTCCCTATAGAAGCCAGGAAGAAAAGTGAGTTGTATGTGCAGAAAAAAATAGCAATAGAGTTCAGTTTTATGTTCTTCTAAATATTATGGAGTTTTCCTTCTGTTTGAGAATGCCTCATGTAACAATATTTGGGTTGACTTGATGAGAAATTTCCAGAAGTGAGCCTGGGAATTAATGTAAAATAAAGAAGATATAGTTGTACAAAAAGGGCTGGAGTTTTGCAAGCAGATGCTACTGTTCTGTTCCACCTTTTCCTCTGTCGACCCCCTTGTGCAATGGAGAACTTGTGTGAATAAATGTGTAATGTGGACATAATAGCCTTCTCTGTAACGGCCTTCTCTGTGCTTTGAAGGAGAAGCAAAAATTAATACACTGGTCATTTTTATTCAGTTATGGTAACTGAACATTCTGAACCATCATGAGGAAAATCATGATGACTTTTGTTGTGGGACATTGTCTGTTGTTTCTTTAAAAAGTGTGCTGGGGCACTTTGGGGAATGTTTCCCCAGAGTAACCAAACAGAAAACACAGCTAGGAGCCTCTGTGTTGCTTACCATGAGAGCCTTTCCTGGATCACTTGCTGTGAAAGCTTTTTGGTTTTCTAGATGGAGGTTCACAGGATTTTCCTTTGGAGCTCCTCTCATATCAAGAGCCATTGGGTTTTTGAAGACCTGTTTGCTCATATCCAGCAAGTGAATTTTAATCAGTGTTTTCATTCCGTCATTGAGGGTCTATTCACACTCAGAGGTCTGGGGTTTGGATTTCTTGATTTAACCCAGCCAGCAACTCAGGCAGCCGCTTATTCATGACATTGTTCACTCCATTACAAGTGGGACGGGGGAGAGAATCATCACAGTAATAGTGACAAAACTATGTGGGTTGAGATGAAGGCAGTTCAGTAGGTAAAGCAAAAGCTGTGTGCTGAGCAAAGCAGAACAAGGAACTCAGCCCCTTTCCCATGGGCAGGTAGTTGTTTAGCCATCTCCAGGAGAGCAGGGCTCCATCACACATAACAGTGACCTGAGAAGACAAATGCCATCACTCCAAAGATCCCCCTTCTTTCTTCTTCTCCCTGCTTTACATACTCAGCATGGTGCCACATGGTCTGGACTATCCCTTGGGGTCAGTTGGGATCAGCTGTGTCTCCTGCCAGCTCATTGTGTACCCCCAGCCCCCTCACTGGTGAGGAGGTACAAGAAGCAGAAAAGGCCTTTGTTCTGTGCAAGCCCTGCTCAGCAATAACCAAACCAATCCTATCAACATCTTTGCCAGCACAAACCCAAAATGTACTAACCACCATGAAGAAAACTTAACTCTACCCGAGCCAAACGCAGCACAGGGTGTTGCTGAACAGAAACAGAATTGCTTAACAAGTTTGGTGACTCATTACACCCCACTTGAGTACAGCACAGACAGGATGCATCATGGCCACTAATCTCAGGAATTGCTCCTTGGTGCAGCCTGGAAGGGAGCAGAGGGTGGAGTTCAGCCTTTCAGTCATCCTGAACTGAGGCTTGTCTACTGCTTTCAAGTTTGCCGTCTTCTTTCTACCCAGTGTGTGATGGAAGCGGGAGTATCTCTCTCTAAAACTCGTAACAAAAAACACAACGAAGAATAAGCAACTTTCTTTTTTGTATTAGAAATTTCTTTATATCCTGTTTTCACTGTCTGCACCAATGGTTGAAAGCAGTATTTGGTCTGTGACTTTACAGGAGGTAAGTTGATTTGTATTTATGTGTATCAGCGTTGTTTGTCCTCTTTGGAAATGCAGTATCCTCCTTTTAAAAGCTAGCCTGAGTTCACCAGCCACCTTTTGTAACCAGGAGGAGGAATTTGGGAAAGAGGGATCTGTCATTTTACTGACTGTAGAAACTGAGCAATATTGAAGTGAAGGAAATGGTTGTCATAGTAAATGCAGTGTTGTGGAGAGGAAGCAGGAAGCTGTCTGTTTACACCAGGGACAACTAGCAGGTCTGACTAGTTGGCTGATGCCAGTTACAAAATGCTGCCTCTGATGTGAGTCCTGCTGTAACAGACCGGCTCCATCTGTTGAACTTTGTCATTGCGAGCAGGTTTCATAAAACTCTAAATATTTCACAGCCTATGGAAATAGTTTGCTTCACATGAAAAGTGCTGTTTGCTCTTTCTGTCTTTACTGTGTCCTGTTAGTTTTTGTTTAGGCAGACTTAAGAGTTTCCTCCTGAGAAGGGAGGCAGTTTTATACTGCTAGACCTGGGGGGAGGAGCTGAAAAAACAAACCAGCTAATCGGGCATACTGCCCTGGCTGGAGGAAGAGTAAAGGTGGTCCTGTGAGAACCTCTCAGCTGCACATTCAGAGTATGGTGAATGAGCTAAAAACATCTTTTAGCTATTGACTGGAAGCCCAAGGTAAGATATCTTTAACTCACTACCAAGGTGCCTTGTAAATTCTAGTTTAAGAGGAGGATAGTGCATTTCCAAGCACAGAGCTTGCTTACCCACTTGTCTGTGAATGCAAAGCAGGAACTCTCAACCTCACACTGCGTGCCTTGCTTTGCAGACACTGAAGCTTTTGGCAAAGACGTAGCAAAAATGGTAAAGCCAACTCGGTTATTTTGTGAAAGTCGTAAGAATTTGCTGCTTTCTTCCTCTAAGCAACATCTCTATGTAAAAGTATTGGTGCTGTTGCACCTGGTCCTACTCAGGTCTCAAGTTTTAGGTGAACTTGGGTCACTTTCTGACAACCAGCGTGTCTATAAAAATCAGTATTTCTAATATAGTCTGAATGAAACAGGAATAAAGATGTGTTAGAGATTGTTATTAGTATTACTATTGTTGACTGCAATTTGGTTTTACACTTTAAAGCTTATATTATGTTTACAGACAAATTTTACTTTAATTTTTAAAATCCCTTGTTCCAAACAGACTACAGTGCATTTAAAATAAGAAAGATTCCCCAAAGTTGTGTGTCTTTTAGCAGTGGCTATTTTAGCTGTGTTAAGACAAAAGCACTTTTTTTACAGTTTCTGTACAAAACTTACTCAAAGTACAATCTTTTGGAAGGGAAACAAACTTACTTCCTTGTACTGGGCAGTGCCTATTCTAGTTACACAATAGGGTCACATTAAGGAGAGAAAATTTGTAGAGGTTCCACTTCCTGCCACAGAGGAAGTTCCCACAAAGAAGAGACTTTTTTTTTACATCCTCTTAGAGCTCCTGTTTTTGTTTAAGACAAACATGCAAAATCTGCTTGCAACAGAAATGAAAATTGCAATTTCATAGTTGTGAATTTGGAAAGAAAAAGATATCTGAGCATAGCTGGTGAGTAGGAAGAAGTGAAAACAGGTGAATAACATACTTATGCAAGAAATCACATTTTGTAGGAATGCATTCATTGAACATCTCTTGAAAAACATTTTAAGTGCTAATATATATATTATATATCACTGAGTTTTACTGATATACTTGGACTGTCAAGATATGAGACCTATAACAATAAGTTATTGTTTTTCCACCTATGAGTTTCCATACGAATGTGGTGCTTTTCCTTGAATTTCCATGGTTACCCTTTGCAGCCTGTTCTGGTATGAAAGATACACGGTGACAGAAAGCCAGCACAGTTTTTTTCTCTTAAAATCCATTTGGAGGAAGGCACCTCTCTCTGTCCCACCTGGCTGTGTTCTTCTGAAAATTAGACTTATATTTGATGTCGAACCCCTGGAAGTCCACTGACCCATAGGCATCTTTTGAATATGGTTCTGTTTCTCAACTCTAGAACAACAGTCAGAGATTTCTAAAATTCATTAATTATTACTGTTCATTCTCCTGTTCCTTCACCTTCTGTGGTTAATGCTCCAGATAGTCATTTCTGCCTGTGTGGAGTGGGTAGGGAAGGCAGTGAAGCAAGAGCCTGCAGCCTCTGGGTTGTCCATTTTGTGTTCCTGTCACTGCCCCCAGCAGGTCCTGGGCCTGTGCTCTGGGATGAGCTCCCCTCTCTACCCAGCACTGTAAAGTACACAGTGGTGTCACTGGCATGAGTTACAAAGAAGTGCACAAATGGTGATGCAGGATGTACAAGCTGTAGGGAGTTCCCTGCTAAATGCTGTTCTTTGCTGGTCCTGCAGGAAATGGGAAGTTGGCACTGCATCACCTACAAAGTGGACTATTTTTATGGATCCCTGCAGACAGAAAAGTGTAAAGTGGAGCAGAACAGCTTTCTACTTTGATTGGAAGCATTATTATGAGTAACTCTTAATTGGTCCTTGTTCACTGCTGCTGTGTGGGATTTTATCTGCCTGATGTCTTTAGATGATGAGCAGGCAGAAACCAAGTGCTTTTGTGGAGAGGTCAGTGTTTACTTCTGACAGGGAAACACTGTGTCCCTTACACAACCCAAACCAGTGGGATGTAAGTGGATCAGCTGCATTTGCACTGCTGGCTTAATTCACTGTTGTTTCCCAGAGCAGCAGTCCTGTCTCAATGTGCACTCTCGCCTTCTCAGTGTTTTCCACACACCGTGCACTCGCTCATTGCTCTTTACAAGGTTTAACTTCCTTTCCTGGTTGTTCCTTTCTTTCCACAGAGGGAAAACCGCAGGCTCCAAGAAGCAAGCATGAGGCTGGAGCAGGAGAATGATGACCTTGCCCATGAGCTTGTAACAAGCAAAATTGCCTTGCGGAATGACCTGGACCAGGTAACATTAACAGAGTTGGGTCCCAGTTCAGGCTTGGCAACAGCGGTTTGGGGAGCTCTGCTTTGTGGTCAAGTGAAAGCATGAACACATTAAAAGTGTAATTATTTTTGCTTTTATTTTCCTGACAACCTCACTCTTAGCTGCACTCAGCTGGATTTTCACATGCCACTGTAGGCATTCAGTGAGGTCTGGCCAAGACTGATTGCATCTTCTCTGTTGAGGGTTGTTTAGAAAATGTAGGCCATAACCTTTAGGCAGATAGTGAAGAACAAACATTTCCTTGAAAAAGGTATCTTGGGAGACTAATTTCAAGGGAAGTTGCATTGCAGAATATCTGTGCGGATCTGTTTTTAACAGCACTTTTAGTACAGCCAACAAAATTCAGAGATAATGAAGTGGCGCAGCACCAAAAATTCAAAGGACTCCTGGGTGTTCGTTCACTGATAACTGCTCGTGTTCCCTGTAGAGACTGGAATGTGGAGGGCAGCAGCATTCAGAGCCCTTTGCCTCAGAGACAACAATTTTCAGAGAATACACATTCAGTCCTCTCTTTCTGCACTGCAGGTGCTTGGAGAAACTGGAATGAACACAAGAAAGGAAATATTTTTTTCTTTTCTCTTTTCACAAGAAAGGAGGAAAGATTTGTAGTTCCTTCAAAGCTTATCTTAAACAGGTCTTTCATCAAAAATATCCTTGTAATCCCCAAGTTCTTTTGTTCTAAGATGTTAATCTCATCAATTCTCCATTCTTGCAGTGTTTTCCTTTCTCCCATACAGCCTTATACACACTAAGCAATAAAGAAATCCTTAATCCATCTCTCCAGTCATGGAGATGGTGGAGCAGGTTCTGCTGCCACTAATATCCTCATTAGTCATCATTACTGTGGCAGAAAGATAAGCTGATCCCACCACAGTGGTAGAAAACCAAACTTCAGCTCAGAGACAAGTTCAGTTACTTGTTTCCAATGCCCTTTTCCCTCTTGTAATTTCAGCAAAGTCAGTGTTAATTGGCCACAACCATTTCCTGTCCTGGGCCTCATTACTGAACAGGAAGGATGGTGAGATGCCATGTATGTTTCCCTGGTGGGGAGACCTATGGAATATATCCAAAATTGAGAAATACATTTCTCTCCTGATGATCGGTGCTCACAAAAACAAAGCATTCCCAGTATGTGTCACCACAAGCTTGGTCCTTCCAGAGAAAATTATGTTCTCAGTTTTCAGGTTTCTTCACGTTATACTGAATTGCACCGATAAATTATTTTATCTGGTGCTCCTGTTCATCTCTTACACTTGTCTTTGCCTGAACACTTTGTAGGGTACAATGCAGACACCTAAATATTTTAGTTATGTTTTCCCTGCTCACAGATTAAAAAATGGGATGAGTTATTTGAAGTTACACAGGAGATAAATCATGCTGCCCTCACTTAGATTAATATTGCTTCCAACAAAAATATTCTGTACATCGCTGTTTGTGCTAGGACATAGCATCTGTGCTTATGTGCCATCTGGGCATAGGTAAACAATTGGCCAAAGGGTCCTTTTCCACAGTTGTTGAAACACAGTGAAATAATTTTGTAAATAGCTAACTGAAAAGGGAATTTTATATCAAAAAGTTAGGTGAGTCATTAGAAGGCAGGAAAAGGCAGTGCTAAAACCTGAGCTTAGTGTATTTCTGAGCTGTATATCCCAGTGTGTTTGTACTGGCACAGATAACATCTGATTTACACAAGTGTCTTGGATTCTAGGCTGAAGACAAAGCAGATGTTTTGAACAAGGAACTTCTCCTGACCAAACAGAAGCTCGTGGAGACTGAGGAAGAGAAAAGGAAGCAGGAAGAGGAAACTGCTCAGGTAAGGCATTCTCCAGCTTTTCCCATTTAGTTAGTAAATGAGAGAAAAATTATATGCAGAAGACTGTGTGGATGTGTTGCAGTTGTGAAAAGGATTTTGTCCTCAAAATGCAGTTTCAATTAAAAGTTTATAGTGCCAGAGTAATTATATTTTTTTCCAAAGAACAATTTTCAGTGGTTTTCTTTACTTGGGCTCTGAATGTTTAGTTTTTCATAGCTTATCCTCTTCCAGGTATTGTAATGATTGTTGTCACTGGTGGTGAGCAAAGTCAGCTAAGGAGATGTGATCAGACCTCTTCAATATCTAAATGAAGGAGCTGGAGGAGCTGTTGCCTTCTAAGAGCCCATTCTGGATTGAGTTGCTGGATCACTTAAATAATGTTCCTGCCTGAAGCTAGACCCAACAGCAGAAGAACAGGGGTGGGGGCTGGGAGAATTTTGCTGACTAGACCTGGCTTCATACTTATCTGCAAAACACTCAGTCTTCATTCTGTAATCCTATTTATCTAACATGTACGTTTCAAAAATGATACCCTGATTTTTATTTTTGCTATTTGGCAACAGTGACTGCAACAATTAATGTTAATTCACTGTGTCTCTCTAAAATGGAGCTCTCTGTTTGCTGTAAGTGAGGGAGTGAGGCTTTTTTCCTACTGAAAGGGCTCTCCAAGTGGAGTGGTTCTGAAGGAGAGATGAGTTAGCTGTGTTTTCACTCGGTGCCATAAACCCAAATAGATTTTTTTCTTCTGTTACGGAGATGACAGTGTTGAGAGATCCTTCTTCTTATTCCATCTCCTAGCAAACAAGCAATCTGGCCAAACCTGCTGTGACAGTGTGCAGAAAAACAAAAACTAAATCAATAAACCCCACCTTTTAGTAACGTGGTTTTTGTGTTCTGTGGACCATGATGTACCACCATTTAACACAGAGAATGGGAGAATTTACAGGAGAATTTTCTAACCAGGGATAATGGGTCACAGTACAGACTTTTTGGTTATCACTGATATAATCAGTATTTGTAAACTGAGTAAATCAGACATTTGTTTGAGAACTGGAATTTCATAAGAAGCAGCTGTAGAGATGTAAACACAGCGAGACATGAAGAAAACAATCTGATGATGCATTTTGAGAAGTTCTGTCAGTGTACTGTGTAACTTCTCTCCTTCAATTCCTAGCTGAAGGAAGTCTTCAGGAAGCAGCTGGAGAAGGCAGAATCTGAGATCAAGAAAACCACAGCCATTATTGCAGAGTATAAACAGGTACCATTCCAGAGACCCTCTCTCATATTTCTTCTCTCAGCCTGTTACAGGAGCTGAATTTTCAGCATTGCAGATCTCATCCTTCAAATAAACTCCACCTTTCAGGCTTTTGGAGAGCAATGTTGTAATTTGTCATAAATCTTCTTGTGGCTTCCTTAATAGTCTTCTAATTAGGCAGTCAGGAATAACCTGTCTTTCAGCTAATTTTAGTACTGTAGGGTGAATGCTTCTGTACTTTGTGACATAATGCAGTATAAACATCATAAACCAACCCATCCATAAAATGTCCCTGTCTCTGTGTTCTGGTTCTGTATTGAATACTGCTGGGTTTTTATCATTAGCAGCAGCACCAGCAGTGGTGGAGTTGTTAAGGGGGATGCATATCCCTGAGTGAGGCAGAATTCAAGAAATGTTGGTTCTAGCAAAAAACATTGTTAAAAAGCACAGATTCTACTTTGGTATAGTAAACATGAGCTAAGAGACTGCTTTCTTTGCTCCAGATTTGTTCCCAGCTCAGTACCAGGCTGGAAAAACAACAAGCGGCCAGTAAAGATGAACTGGAAGTTGTGAAGGTGAGAACAATGTCTACACAGGGGATATTGCTAATGCAAGTGTTGCTGAACACCAGGGATACAGAGTGAAACTTGAACTGAAGCTTCAAGTACACCACCGCCCCACATGCATTTTTCAGCAGATGTAAACAAGGAAAGGGTTTATTTCCTTTCATGGTTCTTTATCTTGCATGAGATTGTGTGGAACTGAAGTGCGTTTAGTACTTGCCTTTTTGCTGTTAAAATATATACTTCTGGTAAAAAATGTAGAGAAAACAGTATTTACTTGGGTGTTTTGATAAAAACACCTTGGATGTTAACTGATAAAAAAAGAAGACCTTCTGGAAGACAAAACATGTTGTTTCTCAAGTGTGCACAGAAGAGGGATTGGAATTGGCCAGATTGGACAAGGTTTATATTTTGGTTTCTGTAATTTAAGTAGAATTGGTTTAAATAATTAAACCAAATGGCACAGCTAGGGCCATCCCCAGAATATCCACAGGGGTTCCTCTCTCTTCTCTAAACCCCTTACCAGGAACACCTACATAACAGTGAAACATTTTGTGATAGGTAATAATAATAATATTAATAATAATAATAACAGCAACAATAATGATTCAGAGTAGGCAGAGCTGTTTGCACTCTGCTGTAGCTTCTCCATATTTCTTTAGTACTCAAGCTGAACTGGATTTTTTGCTTTTTAGTGACTTTTTAATGTTATTGATAATAATATTAAATAATTCTAGGATTGATGTTCCTAGATTCTGCTGAAATAGCTCAATATCCTCTTTTAGCCTGTGCAAGCCAGGCCAGCTGTTTCATCTACTCAGATTTAATTTACTCTTCTGAGTTGTGCTGACATAAATATTACAAAGCTTTGGTAGCAAGAAGTTTCTAATATAGGAGCAAAGTCTCTGTGCTTAGAGCATGCTGAGTAGATTTTAGGAATTTTTATACTGGTTAATATACCCTGGAAATTGTTCATGAACTACTCAAATTCTTTTCATGCCAGTTATAAAAATTGCAGTACTAGATGGTTTGAGATTGAGGCAGTGTGACAAATAAAATGGCTGTTCCAGGAAGTACAGCAACTCCTGTAACACGGATTAAGAGTGAGCTTTCTGGGTATTTCAGGGTAAAGTGATGGCCTGCAAACACTGCAGTGAGATTTTCAGCAAGGAGGGGGCACTGAAGGTGCCTGCTGTAAGCATGGACAACAAAGGCATCGAAACAGATGATGAGAAGGATGCACTGAAGAAGCAGCTGAGAGAGATGGAGCTGGAGCTTGCACAGACCAAACTGCAGCTTGTGGAAGCCAAGTGCAAAATTCAGGTACGTGAAATCCAAGTACAGCAGGGTGGTCATCTTAACCTCGTGCTCAGTCCAAAATTACTCTGAATCATGCAAAAAGTTGTTCCAAAGGGGAGTACATACCTGCATGCCTGTATATCTGAACTTTCAGGAAAAAATTATGTCTTAAAAAGAAAATGATGATTTTATTTGTGTGTCTAAATATTCTCTCCCCAGTGCCTGGGAGATTGCAGGGGAAGTGCAACGACTGAGTGTGAAGATGATTCTTTGTTAATTAGGTTTTGATAAATTCTGACTATTCTGCTTTCTTAGGAGCTGGAGCACCAGAGAGGAGCCCTTATGAATGAAATCCAAGCTGCCAAAAACTCTTGGTTTAGCAAAACCCTGAACTCTATCAAAACGGCCACGGGCACACAGGCAGCTCCGCAGCCCCAGCCGCCCCTGCCTCCCAGAGAGGGCAGCACATAGTTCCAGCCACAGCCGGCACAAGAGCACAAAGAACAACACAGCTGAAACCTTGGAGGATTCTTCCAGTGGTCTCTCCTCCTGGGCAAAGGACAATGAGGCAGGAGTGCAGGCTTGAAGTGAAATTCTTCAGTGTTTTTCATTGATTTTCTGATGTGACCCTTTTCAAAGGGGGGGGGGGAAAAAAGTCCTGGTTTATGTTGACTTCCTACTTCCCATACTGCCTTGCTGAAAGGCACATTCTGATACCTTCATACTTTTACACTTTATTTTATATGACTAGATGTTAAATAAATATTTCAAAACTAGGTCTTTAATACACATCTAATTTGAAATTATTTTTGTCTTGCATAGAAGGTTTTTCTTCTGGAGGAAGAGAGAGAATGGAAAACATACAGTACTGCAGCATAATCTCTCCCTAGAAAGCACAGTGTAAGACAATGAGGATAACTTAGGCCCTGGGACCATCTCAGAAGTTTATCACAGCAACTGCATCCTGCAGAGAAGCACTTTTTGTAAAGCTTAGGCCATAGCAAAGATAGGCTTGTGCTCTCCTGGCACAACTGCTATGAGCTTCCCTTACAACTTCTTAGTTTGGATTGGTTTATCTTCAGAAATACAAATAGTGCCATTTTTGTAACACTGTTGTTTAAAGGCTATTTACAGCTCAGCTGGAATTTAACAGAAAGTTCCCTAGTTCCCTTTTTTAATTCATGTTTATATTAAGAATTCCAAGGAATAATTCCTTCCACTGGGATAAAGGGGGTACCATTTTGACGCTTGATGTTTTTGCTGAGAAGCAGAGTGGAGACCTTGCATGGTTTTGACCTTTTGTAAATCCTGTGCAATAAAGGGTAGGTTTTATGAATAAAAGTAATGAAAACCTTGCCCTGGGTCTATATTCAGATTCCAAATTTGACACAGAAATAAGGTATCAAATAAAACATCCAAGAGGCTTGTGCTGCACTGATGAATAAAATACCATAGAAACAAGATCTGTTTGCTTGAAGTATTTGGTTAGGAAACACTTTGTTGATCTTACTTATTTTTTATAAAAACAAGCATTTTCAAGTGGAATACAAGCCTTAGACTTTCCTGTGAGGGTAGACTTCTCTGGTGATTCCCAAACCTGTCTGGTTGTTTTATATTTCTTAAGGTAAGAAGGTTCAAAAGCATTTGTTTTGACTAAACATAAAGTGTTCATAGAAATACTTATTTCATGGAAAATTAAACTATTGCTTGAACTGATGGAATATTTTTTTAATTATATGTGTCATGTCTGAAGATGGTCTTGCAGGTAAATGTCATTGCTGGACTAAATGTTGTGTATTAATTGTTTCATTTACAAGGTTTTTCCAGGGACACTAGTTCTGTTTTGATCTTCTTTTTTTTTAATTCTAAGGAATGCCATACATTGTCAGTTTTGTACAATAAAATTTAATAATACCCATCTTGTGCTTTGTTGTCAAGCATAATTGTGAATTATTTTCAACAGGGTAGTACAAATTTAATGTTACCAGTGCCAAAGGAAAAATTCTAAAAGGCAGTCAGCTGACAGAAGTAGAGCTCAAAATATAATCACCATCCTGACACAATTCTCTCTTCTAAGAATAAGGGGTTAAAAAAACTTTAATATTTTAAAATGTACCTTCAAGAACGTATCATCTGGAATTATTAATACAGTGAGGAACAAAAGGGGGAAACAGAAGGTACTTCTTTTGCAAATGTTATCAAAGGTCTTTTTCCCTTGTCACTGTCTTGCTCATAATATTTGCATAAATGTTTCCATTCTCTTGACTAACTAAACCCAGTGTTAGTCATTCACTTACCAGTTCCGCTTCACATTCAGAATGTGAATCTGAATTCATAATAAATCTGAAGTGACATTTAAGGATAGCTGGTGAGCATGTGATTGTTGCATTTGAGAGTACTCTGCCCATGAGGGAAACTGGTTTTGACAAGTGTCTGAATTTCTCATTTATCTTAAATCATACTTACAAGTGGATTTAAAACCATGATTGGAAAAGTTCAGTAAGAATGATTAAAGGAATGTGTTAGGCTGTGATTCCCTGAGCAGATGAATTAAAAGCTCACTACTGCTCAGCCCTCCAGCTTCCCACTGTACAGTCCTGTCCCTTGTCCTTGTTGTAATATGTACTGGAGATAATTAAAAACAACAGCAAAAAAATCCATGTGGGTGGATTTATCCCCCTGCAGTTTATCTTCTGTCAAGTGAATGACTTAAATCACCTCACAGGGTCCAGTGAGTGCAAGCGGATCATGGGACTTTCCAAGTTCATCAAAAAGGAACTGGTAAATCACCTTACACAGGATGAGCTTTGACACAAGATTCATTTTCTCAGTGTAGCTGCTTTCTGACTTTGGACATTGAGTTTCAGGAACAAAACCACATTTGCTACCTGCTAGCCATGACGATTTCAGACCCTTGTAAGGATGGAAGCTGGCTTACCTCACCCAAAGGAAAGCAGTGACCCTAAAGGCAATAAACACTTTCCACCTTCCAGCTGTGGATCCAAGGTAGCATTTGGAGCAATGGCATTTGGAAGAGTAATATTTAGGAGGAAACTGCATCTTCTCGGCATTACTGAAAGAGCAAGAAAATAGCTTAATGGCATTATCTTGATGAATATTGAGAATGAAGGAAAGGAGCAGGACTCCATGATTAAACCAGGCAAGCTAAAATCCTGTCTGCTGACTATAGATGCTATTGGGAAATTTAGTTTCCTGCAAGAAAAGAGATCTCTGTATGACAGAACTACCTACACACATATCCTTGGTGGATTTGTCAGGGATAGCTGGCTTATTGTCCAGCTTTTCAGCAGGAAACATAATCAAAGTCTCACTAAAACTGTTGTTTCTATGTGGCACTGGAACAGCTAACATAGCTCCTAAGTGTGGAGTGATCAACCTTTTTTCCCTGAGTCTGTAGTAAACTATGTGTTCAGATCAAACTTTTATTAAAATTAATTTGAATTTTATAAATATATATGTGGAACTAAAACCTATTTTTAAATTCTATTGAGAATGTACCATTCTGAAATAAAGACTTTACTTTGATTAGGAACAAACCTCCAAAGAATATTTTTACTACAACTTCTATCTTGGTGGACTATAATTTGTTCCTGAGAAGCCCAATATAGGGAAAAAAAAAAAAAAAGAGTCCTTTTCACTTTAAAAAGTTGGTTTTCCTTTGACTGTAACACTTTACAGGCTAAATGAAGCAAGGCTGATTTATTTACATGGTACATTTGTGAACTAGTCTTGTATTATCTTTGTGAACCAAACTTAGTCTAAATAGGACTTATTCCACTTAGTTTACATTTCTAAATGTACCTGGAGAGGAGTAAAGAGAAAAAAGATAGAAACTAGTAGGGGTAGAGAAGTCAAAAAACTGCAAAATCCCTGAGGTGCCATCTGCATTAGAGTTTGGCAGAACCAGTCTCAGGAAAGGTAGTCAGCTATGTAATCAGTACTGCCAGTGAACAAACCCACCCTTCTCCTGTTCAGTAATGAGAATTTAATTTACTAAGTTAAAGTGCTTACACAGGTAAGCAGCATTTTTTTTCTTTGTTAGACATTTTAAATGACTTAACTTAGTTGGCCCTTGAAATTTCTTTTAAGATAAATTATCATCTCTGCCACTGTGTTAAGAACTTGAAATAAAACCAGCCGTTTACAAGGGGAGATGGAGATAAAAAGTCAAGAACTGCAAGAATTCAGCCCCTTAACAAAGCATGAAGTATCCCATTGACTTCAGGGTTGTGATGCCACTCATTGACTGAACGTGGTAGTTTAGGAGGAAATAAAAATCTACATTTACTGGCATCGAAGTACCAAAATTTGGAAGTCACAGGTCATGGTTTCTCTACAGGATCAAGGCAGGGCTGTTCCTTCTATTAAACAGCTGCAGTGAAATCCATGAAACTACTTGTATGTGTGGGAGAACTATAATCAGGTGATTCTCACTTACTTAGAGGATTTTCATTTACTGTTAGACTCAGGGATAATTGGCAATTTCTACATCATCTCATAAGCCTAAACACCCTTGGCTTTGAAACCAGAAGCACTCTTACAGTGCTGGTATTCTTCCAGCTGTTAGAGAGAAAATCGTAGTAAGTGTCATGTCTGATTGATTGTGAAGAGAGGACAGAGATGTTCCCCTCAGGTCTGAGGGACTGCTGTGGCTGACAAGCACTCTCTGTCCCTGCTGAAGGGGCTGCTGTGCAAAGAGCTGGCTGCACCAGATGTGCAAACACAGAGGTTAAAACTAAATTATTTGTCTGTCTATTGTGCTAATATCCTACTGGGAACTGTCCCATTCCCATTAGTTCCTTCCAGGTAATAACACTAAGGGGAGACATGATGAAACGCTCAAGTTTGGATCTCTCGGGTTTTAGGGGAGGTGTATGTCACAGCAGCCTTTAGAACTGAGCTAATCCACACGTGGCTTGGGAAATGCAAGGAATTTGCAACCAGATAAATAATGTTCAGCATTGATCAAAACCTTATCTTTCCCAGGCCAGAAGTCTACGCAATTTATTTCAGGATCGTGACTTAACACATACAGGTCAATTCTCCAGGAATACAGGGCTCTCCATGTCTCCTGGGTCCCAACGGCTTTGCTACTGAATGTATTTCATGCTTTTTTTACCTGAAAAAAAAAAAAAATGGGTAGAGAATTAGGATATTACTTTTTATTATTTTCTTATTCAGTGAGACTTGCTTTTATTTAACCTGTAAAGAAATATATATGTATCTTTGGAGAACTATATCTTCCTTATAGAATAATATATAAGAAATGGAACGACAAGGGGATAAATACATCAAAAGGATTTGGTATCATAAATTTAATTTGTGATTTGATACCACCAGAATCCTGGGCTGTACTAATTTCCTTACAGTTTCTATTACTTTTGTATTTTATATTATACATGGATGGTACTACCAATGCAAACCACAGCAGATGTTCCCAGATTTTTCTTCAGATCTCAATTCTTGTCTTTCAGTAATCCCTGGGTTTTCAGTTCTGCTATACTACCCTCAAAAGCTGTGCCAGCAGCTCTCTTGAGCATTGGGAACTCTTGCTTTCCCATGGAAGAAGATTCTCTGGCTTCTTTGAACTGGGAAAACATGACATAGGACTGCAGAAAAGTTTCTAATCAAGCATAATCCATCTTCCTTTGTGTCTGCCATTAAGGTGGATTCACTCTAGCACACTGAAAACAGCAGCTTCAAATCTCTGACATGACAACGAAGTTTTCTACATTTGGGGTTGCCTTTGTGATCTGGGTGTGTCACAGGTTCACAAATCCTAAAGAGTTAGGAAAAAAAAGAGCATCACAGAGAGGTCAGACTTCCAGCTGAGAGCCATCCAGTACTACCACTGGATGTGTGGGTAACACATCCATGTATTATATAAAGTACAATGTGAAAATATAAGTGTAATGCTCGTTATTAAAAGTGCAATTCAATGTACATGGTCACAACAAACGTTTACTTTTTTAATTGTTACAGAATTGTTCAGATCAGTACCTTGTTATCATTGTGTGAATGATGCCTTGTAAAATAAATGGAAATGGAAAACAACTTGGGAATAAGATGCTTATTTTCCTAAGCCATTTACTTAAGAAGCAGCTTAAATCTGTTTGCAGGAAGAAGCAGCTGCTGTGTCAGGTTTTATGACGCAGTTCTCACCAGCAGCTCTGTTGCACCGGGCACAGTGACTTGGCAGGTTGGCTGTCCAAAGGGAGTGCAGGCTAATTCCAGCCCATTCCTTAGGATAATGTGCTGGTCACAGGGAGCTGGGCCACAGAGCTAAGGGCTCACCCTGGCTCTCTGCTCCACGTGCCAGTCTGAGGTTTCCAGCGCAGAGAATGATTTTCCTAAAGGTTGGTGACATACAGCAATGGGACAATAGTTAAGGACTTCATGCTTCCCTGGAGTACACAAGCCTTGAGGCAGCGTGCCTGCGGGAAGAGACATGGGGGGCAGAAGGAAAGAGCAGGACATTGGCAAGTGACTACTGAGAGAGAAGCAGGGCTGAGCAAGAACAGGACAGAGCAGAATGTACCACAGTCAAAAATATCCAAATGCTTTATAAAACCATTTTTCTATGTGAGCTACTGCTCTAGGATTTCTTTTCTATTAACTGAGATGAACAGCCATTGTTGCCAGATAACAGCAAAAGCACACAGCACTTCAGGGGAAGATAAGGCAAACAGGGACAAAAGCTGAAGATTAAATTTACCAGCCATAACGTTTTGTATGAATTTACCTCCACATCACTACCCAAAGCATTTGTCAGGAGAGGAGGCAGCATCCAGACGCTGTTGCAGCTTTCTGCAAAGGAGAGCTATGTGGAGCTTGTTTTTACATGACAAGAATGACAACTCTTCCACATGGACGCTGCCACTCAAAGGGAAGTGTACAGAAATGTTCATCATTTCACATGTGTACAGCCATGTGTACAGAAATGTTCATCATTTAAGGAAACCAAATAAACACTTGAAAAAAAAACCAAACAAACTCTAAGAAAAAAAGCAAATTACAGGCTCACTTCGAATGTATTTCTAGGTTAACGAAAGCATTTCCTCCTCCAGCCAGAACTTAAATTAGAAAGTGATACCAATTTAAATTGTAAAAATAAGAGCACTTGCTAATAATATAAAACCACAACTGAGTGTGGAGAAACTCAAAGATTAGTAGATAAATTAAATAACATAACATTTTTCCTTGTCTCAGGTGCTGCTACACAGGAAATATTATAAGGAAGTAATTCCTGAATAAGCAACTGCCTTAACCAATTAAACAAACAAACAAAAACATGCCATAAAAGTAAAATCCAGCTGACCATATTGTATTTCCTAGATCAAACCAACTATTCTGTCTCCAAATGCTATTCCTGAGGATGGTCAGGCTTACACTTAGTCCTGTGAAAATTTATAATAACCACAGTTAATTCTGCAGATCTTTTCTCCACTGCAGATCCTGAAGCACTGCAGCAGAGGGTTATAATAAACACCTCAGTACAACATCTGTTAAAAGCACTCTGGGGAATGCCAACTTGAATACAAATATTTGGCTTCAGGGCTTAAAATTTCTTCTTCCCTCCGTACCTCTAGAGATCTCTTAACAAATTAATTCCTGGATGTTCACACTATAAGAGAAAAAACCCCAGATCCTAAGCCCAAGCATCAGCAAATAGGCTGCCATTCCTCAGTCTGATAAAACAGTGTTATAAATGGCACCTTGTTTTAGAGAAACTGACTTTTTCAGCTCTGTGTTCTGCCTTGGGTCACACTTTATAAAGGACATCTGGGGGCAAACACTGCCTCCTCTACATTCTGGTGAAAGAAAGAATGCCATTGCTTTATTGTTTTCTTTCAGGGAAATTTTAATGCCCAGTGGAGCTATAGAAACTTTTTTTTGTTAGTGCTCACTGTGCTGATTTAGTAACAGTGTCAATATCATGTTTTTCTTTTGATGAGGAAAACGCTTAAAAGAGAATTTTGGTAACATTACACCAGCATATTTTTACGTGTATCTAGCAAAATGCTCTGTAAATAAAAGCTACATTTTCCTTGTAAATGGTAACAACTCTTTACTCACAAAGTCACTCCCAGAGTACACATCGTGACATTACAGGTGATCAGCAGTAACTTACCCTCTGGGTTTGTTGTAGAAAGCTTATTACGCATTAGTTGTGAGGGTCTCCTTCTGTGGTGCTGTGTTGAGGGCACTGTGCCATCTGCCCAACTTCTAGTGGATTTGGTTGTTTTTTAATTTAAGAAATCTTAGGACTTCAGAGCTTAAACCTTGCTGGAGTTATCTTTTTTTTGGAAGTATTTTCCAACCTCAATAACCATGAAAATGAGGAGCAGAACAAAACCATGGCACTTAGCTTACAAGCCCATCTTCCTTTAAGGGCCAGGAAGAGAGATTTCTTCCCCTTTGATCACTATTTACCTGCACAACACGAGCCTGATACTCTTTGCCTGAAGAAGGAAAACAACACTTTATTTTGCAAAATTATTCGAAGACGTTGATAGCTACGAGCTCAGGGGCATTTACCGTAAAACAAGGCGTAGATTTCTTCACGGCCAAACTAAAGCCCAGGCCGTGCTCTCCTCAGCCGCCCGTCCCTCAGAGCCCGGGGGGCGGGGAAGCTCCTGCTCCCGCCCGTCCCTCAGAGCCCGGGGGGCGGGAAAAGCCCCCGATCCCGCCCGTCCCTCAGAGCCCGGGGGGCGGGGAAGCTCCTGCTCCCGCCTCCTCAGGGGCGGTGCGGGCGGGACCGGTACCGGCTCCGTCACTTCCTGGGCCGGAAGGTTCCAGAGGTTCCACGGGGAGCCGCCATGGCCGTGGCGCGGGAGGAGGTGAGGCGATTCCCGGCGTTGTTCCCCGGGCGCTGGCGGGGCTGTGTGCGAGGGGCAGCGGTGTGGCCCGGGCTGGGAGGCGGGGAGCTGTCATCCCCGCGTTCGCTGCGGGCTGTGGAGGTCTCCCCCTGCGGCGGTGCGTGTTGAGGGAGCTGTGCCATCCGCCCAGCTTCTATTGGTTTCTGTTGGTTTTTTAGCGTATGAAGAGTTAAGCAATTAAGACAGTTGTCTTAATTGAAGATGTTGGAGGTATTTTCCAGTCTTGTGCTCTGAGATGGCCGTGGTTGAGCAGGGGAGTTGCACCCTTCCAGCGCGAGCCATTCTGTGAATTAAGATTCTGTGGTTGTACATCTCTACAGGAGTGGACAAGGGGTGGGGAGGGGATGATTCCGTACTTAACTGGTTGTAGTGGGAAACTAAACTACTGACCTGATAAAGCTGAAACTCCAACATCTGGAACACGTGAAATTGTCATAAAAAGCTGTGAGCCCTGAGCACAAAGAATTTATCTGATGTATAAGTGTGATCCTTTGTTTTTGAACCAGTTGCAGAAAGATTTGGAAGAGCTTAAAGAACTGCTTACGAATGCCACTAGGAAGCGGGTGCGTGATGTCCTTGTGGCAGAGAAACAAAAGCTGGAGCTGGAAATCAAGAATCAGCCTCTGCCGAAGCCAAAAGATGTGGCAGAGGAAGAAAAATCATCGCTGGGAGGGTACACAGTGAAAATAAACAATTATGGTAGGATTATTTTTCTAGAGTTCCAGCATCTCTCTGGTGATGGCAGGGTGGCATTACTGGGAGTTTGAGTTGCCACTTAGCATCATAGTGAAGCCTTAAGTGTTTAATTCCACACTGGACACCCCTCTGTAAAAGCTACCTCACCTTTACCTTGCCATCCGAACCCTGGTGTGTATTGATCATGTTTGTGTGATAGTGTTTGGTGGGTTGCATCAAGTATCCTTGCTGTACCAGCTGGTATTTTTCCATTACTTGGTGTTTAGTGGGAATGAAAGAGTAAGTTTTGGCTTCTCTGATTGCCATGTAGGTGAGAGGAGAGGGAATTACTCAAGATGCAGGGAGTAGGGGAAGAAGTGGGTCAGGGAAACTGCAGCAGGAGCAAACAGCTGGCTCTGACTCCCCCTGCACAGCCTGGATTGCTCTCGTTTGACCTGAGCTGATACGTGGGTTTTCTCAGAATTTGCAGGCCTTGGAGAACAGGGCTACGTGGGGGGACCTCCCTTTGCTCTAAAGTTATTCCTGAATAATTCATGTTTTCCTTTTATCGCTCTGAAAATTGCATCAGTAAGGCAAAGACCCTAGTTGTTCTAGCGGGCTTTGTGGGGCAAATTGGAGTGCATGAAGCTTATGGAGAAAGGTGGAACTTAATCTCTTTTTTTTCACTTCCAGGTTGGGATCAGTCAGATAAGTTTGTTAAGATTTACATCTCTTTAAATGGTGTCCAGAAGCTTCCAGCTGAGAATGTGCAGGTGAATTTCACAGAGAGGTGAGTTCATCTTGTATCTCAGCAAGAACACTGAAATGCAGGAGTATTGGATTTTTTTTTTCCTCTACTCCCTTTTTTCTTTTTTTTTAAACTTCAGCTGTAGTAGCTTTTAGTAGCACTTGAGGATATCAGGGTGTTTTCATTTAACAAGTGCACCTCACGTTTGACAGGGCACATAGTGTTAGCCCTGGGCATTTGTGGTGATAGAACAGAGGTGTACATTAAGGAAATTCGATTTTCCTAGTTTGTTGGTAGAAAAAATCCTAAAGATCTTGATTTGTTGTGCAGTTTGGATTGGTCGTTGTAATTTCTCTGTTGAAATTGAAATGAACGTTTTGAGAGCCCTGGGAATAAAGTAATTCAAGCCTGTTGGGCTGCTTTCCCAAGAATTACTCTGCTTTCCTAAAAAATACGCCTGCTAAAGGGTTTTCAGACAATGCAGTGATTGGAACATTTGTGCCTTTCCTCCATCCTCTTTCTGGGTCCAGGTCATTTGATCTTCTAGTGAGGAATCTGAATGGGAAGAACTACACCATGACCTTCAACAACCTCCTGAAGCCCATCTCTGTGGAAGGCAGCTCTAGAAAGGTCAGTGCACCTTGTCTGTTAGAGGTAATTTAGGGCCCTCACAAAGTGTTGTGTTCATTGCCTGGCTAGTTCAGGAGACTCGGTTCTAATGTTCAGTCCCTCCCTTCTGCTGCTGAGTTTCTGCACTGTGAACATGAGTCCTACTAATCTGTGATTGTCATAACTGTGGAATTAGTCTCTGGAATCCTATTTCAAGAGATCATGTCTGGATATTTAATAGCTCACCAACAGGATTTCAGAAATAATTAAGCAGAAAATACCACCAAGTGTTCATTTGCATCTTTGTGCTTCTAAATACCTCTGAGAAATTCTTTGCGATTTTAAGAGATTTGTCAGCAGACTGAAATCTTGGGAAGCTTAAATAGGCTTAATTCCCAAAGCCAGGTCTGAAACCTGCTCTGCCTTAGTTAGGATGTGTTGCTTCAGAACTGAACACTGGTGTGGTGGTTTAGCCCTAGCAGGGGGTTAATTTTCTAAGGGAAATATTAATTCTATCCCAGCCAAAACCAGGACAACTAGTAGTAACATTTTACTGCTAATGATTAGTGATATCCATACTCTGCTGCTTGTGGCACCTTTCTAGGCTTAGAGGTGTGCCATATACTTCCTGTGAGTTCTCTGTTGTGCTTGGTGACATCAGATGTGAACTACTGGTTCAATTGAAAATTGGCCTAAAATGAGTACAGAGTGAAGTTAAACCAGCTGAAATAAATGAGAGTGATGCTCTGGTGATCTTTAATACAGTGTGAAAGTGAGCAGTGGTCATGTACTTGTTAAGCCAAGCTAAAGCTGCAGTAGAACCTTGTCTGCTGTGGCATGCAGGAGTTCTTTGTGAAATTTAGGTCAGGGTTGCAAGTCAGAAGGCTTTGTAACTTGCAAACATGTTGCAAGATTGAGCAACACCCTAAAATTAGTTTCTTATCCTTGGAGAAATAAATTGGAGGCGCCTCTACCTGAACTTGGTATGCTTGGAGAAGTCTTGTAAATATAGTCAGTCTTTACCAGGCAGCCCTGGCTACTTGAGCATCCTTTGAATCACTGAATGGTGTTCCTGCAGCATTTTATGTTCTTCTGTATTGGTTCCATAAGTCTGTACTAGTATTATATTAACCACATATGTGAATTGTCCAGAGCTTAATATAATTAAGGAGTTAATACTTTGTGCCCTGAGGCTGAGTACGTGCTATAATTTTTGTATGCTACATGATAATGGATAGCTGAGAGAAAGGTTTCAGGAATTCCTGAGTATGGAAGAGGTTTATGTTACAAGCTAACCTTTCTCATTTTCACTGGCATCCCATTATGAAGCATTCTAAATTCATGCCTTGCTGTTCACCATACAGATAAAGACAGACATGGTCCTTGTGATGTGTAAGAAGAAGCGGGAGGAAAAATGGGATTGTCTCACTCAAGTGGAAAAAGAAAGCAAAGAGAAAGAGTAAGTGTCTTTCCAGCCCTCCATCTGGTTTTCCATTTCTCATTCTCTGTGTTGTTTAAGGACTGTTGGGAGAGATCTGTACCGACTGCAGTAATTCTGGGGAATGTTGGTCTGGGGGACAGGCCCTGAGATGTCTGAGGATCTTAGGATAAGATCTCCTGATGTTAGGTGGGGATTTCTTTTGGTACTTGAAGGACTGCAAGTGGAAGAAATATACTTCTGAGTAGCTACCACTCCTCTACTGGTCTATTGCTAATGACAAAGGCTGAATCATAGGACATATGATAGGGAAGACCTGCAGTGAGAATTCTAAAGGGAATCAACCAATTAAACATTCATTTGCATTTTGGTGGCTGCATTCATTGCAAAAACTGCATTAGTGAGGTGACTGTTTTTAGATCAAGTGTATATTATATAGAAATACATAGATGTATCTCCTGCAGGTCTACTGGTCAAAACAATTATTGTTACCCGTGTGGGAAGTGTCTGCACAAAAATCCCAGCATGCTTTTGGCAAAGCAGGTCTTTAGTCATCTTCTACTTACATGATTTTCCAGAGTCTCAGGCCACTCTCTAACACTTCAAGTGCTTGGGAGCAGCAGGCAGCTTAGATATACACAGGTATGAGGGTGGTGAATGACAGCAGGAAACGCCTGGGGACAAAAGACTTTCTAAAATATATATATATATATATATAAATATGTATATCATATAATGATTTAATATTATTGTACATGTATAGCCACCTTGAAGAATGAAAACACTATTGAGAATGTTACCCCTGCCAGCAATTAATTTTGTGTATGTTTGTGGAGTGATTATCTAAAACTGATCAGGCATAAGTGCCTGAATTTAGGGCAAAACAGCCTTCTCCACTCAAATGCTATCACAGGAGATTTAAGAGGAAGTGACTTGACAATTAATGAAGTTTTCTGGAGAGGCAGGGACACTTTATTAGACCTGTGTCTTATGCAGAGAATTCCCAAAGATTTACTGTTTGTCATACAAACGGCTCCAGAAATGCTGGTCCCAGCCAGGGTCTGTGCAGCTGATGGTTAACCCTGAGTGTGAGGAAATTGCTCCCTCTGCTGATCTGTTTTCATCTGCTGTGTTTTTGAGCTAGACTGCACTAGGAACTACCTACAGGATTTTGGAAAGTGGGATGGAGAGGACTTTAGCCAAAGAGGGCATTATTTATAGTCAGGTCATACAGGCCGTTCCTCCACAGGTGGCACTATTCATCACCTGAGAAAATTGCTTTGAAATGCAATGTGTTAAGAAGTCAGTTAACCTGTAGAGATCATCTGAAAAATGGGAAGCAGAAAAAAAGCCTTTTGGTTTGTGAATGTGGTCTCTAAAGAACTTGATGTAGTCATTTTTCCATTTTTATTCACTTGTCACATAACACAAGGCAGGTATTGGCATGTTCTGTGTCTGTTACATTTCACTTCTACTTCCTACAGTTAATTTTGGGCAGTGCTTCCAGGGTCATGTTTACTGCAAATTGCTTCCCATTGAAATACTGTCCTACCCCATGGGACAGCTCTAGCTGTACAACTCGGCTTGCACTCGGTTTAAGGGTATTTCTTAGGATTCTTCCTATTTGGAAGCTGACTGAGACTGCTGCGATCTGAAGACTTTGCCAAAGCAAAAGTCCTGTTACCAGGATGTTTCAAACAACTATTAGCATTTAATTTTGTTGGGTGTACCTGACCTTCTCATGTATCCGTCTTGCAGGAAGGCTGCCTATGACACCGCAGATCCTAGTGAAGGGCTAATGAACATTTTAAAAAAGATGTATGCGGAAGGGGACGATGAGATGAAGCGCACCATCAATAAGGCCTGGGTTGAAAGCAGAGAAAAGCAGTACAAAGGTGACATACCAATGGATATCTGAAAGTACTCTAAGGGCCGCCTTAAAACTGATCTTCCATGTGAGACATGCTGTGCTGCAAAGATCATCGTTTACATAACCTTCTTCCAAGCAAAGACAGTCATTTTCCATTTCAGGTTGGAGAAAATATTTAAATAAAATAGCTTATAAAGCATTTCCTTCAGTCAAGTGGTTCAGCATTTTCTGAGGAGTGAAGCATAGGGTATACATCCTTACCCCTCCTTGAAAAATCATCTCAGATGAGTGGGGAGTGCTGTGAGACTGAGAACAGAACGTAAAAATAAAGGAATCTTAAACTAGGATGGGTCAAGGCCTCTGTTGCCAGTGGCAGCTGTACCCATGTGGTTGCTAGGGCTAGTGTCACACTCACTTCACTTCAGGGTGTAGCTTTTTGATTAAATACAGGAAAGTGCCGAACTGTAAAGCATGTCACAAAGGGAGAACTGAAGAAAGTAGAACCACATCCTAAGCACTTGATAGTAAAACAGGAACAGTATGGTGTTAATCCTGTGGTATTCAAATTTAATGAGTACTCTCAGAAACTATTCCTGTCTAATAAATACTATGAATTTTGGAAATCAAAATGCTTGTGCCTGCTCTGAGCATCGTGGGATGTCTTTGAGATGCCATCAGTCAGGATGCAGTCCACAGTCAGCAGCAGGAGAGCAGGGACAGGGAGCTTGCCCTGGCTCCAGCAGTGTAAAGCAGGAAACAAGGGATAAGCTCCACTTTTTCTGTCAACTTTGAAAGGGTTTTAAGGTAAGAAGTATATCAAGATGGCTTATATGCCAAAATATGACTCGGCTGGGTGTGGTGAGTTGCTGTCAGTTTGCTGCTAGTGGTATTTGGCCTTTTTATTGCAACCTCCCAGCCTCTGCTGGGGAGGGGGACAGAGCAGCCACTGCCCCCCCCTTTACTGCAGTGCTTTGAAGAAGAGTACAGGACAAACATGACCTTAGCAGCAAGCCTGTTGTCAATTGTGTCCTTCCTGCCTCCTCCTCTCGTGTCTCCCAAGGACAGATTTGTTGTTACCTGTGAATTAAGGAAGCCATTACTCTCCTATTAGGGTCTGGACTAGGGCTTCCTTGCTACCTTGTTCTTGAAGCATTGGACCGAGCGCTGCACTACGAACAGGAGAAATACCAGCACAGTATAGTTAACAGGTCCTTTAGCCACTTTGTCTGCTCGTTAATACACGTATAGGTTTAGTTAGCATAGCAAGAGTATCTGAACTTGAGGCCATGTTTTATTCCCACTCTGTGCTTGCCCTTGTTCACAGCAGAATACCACTTTGTCCTGTTGTGCAGTTTTATTGATGCTTTTACCCAAATTACCATGATGAACTTAACCGTATGGTGGCAAAAAAAAAAATGCTTAAACAAGCCCTGTGCTGTATGTCTTTATTTCTAATGTTGGCCATACCACAAACCTCAGCTTAGTTTTGCAACCATCCATTTTTCCTCACAATCAAACTGTCTCTCACACAGACCATTTCAGTGCAGTTGTGCTGCCGCTTGTCAGCTGATACCAATTGTAATCCAGGGAGTTTAATGAATCAGCACAACTTCTTGTCCTTCCCTTATTAGATTGACATTGATGCTGGACTCTGAGGCAGGACAGTCTTGCTTTCATTACACACACAAATGAGCCTGGTTTGTTTCCTCTGCCTGAAAGCACATCCACGTGGTGATTATTACCACATGGATCTCTGTACACCAGACATCTGAGCATGGTCAGCAAAGTGGCGGAAAACAATTCTGCTGAGCCTCCAACGCCGCTTAACCCCTCGAGGGCGGGATGTCAGGACACACCGGTTCCGGATCCTCACAGGGCAGCTGTCCCGGGGCAGGGCAGCAATCTCTTTGTCAGCCACTTCCTAAAACACAACACAGCGCAAGAGTTTATCTGTGTTCCCCGGGATTTAGAGGGGCCTTACTGCCAGACTTCAAAATCATAGAGTAGGTACCATCACAAGCTTCTCTACCACCTCATGAATAAGCTTTGCTATTTAATTGGGAACTTTCACCTATCTTCCTCACTCAGCCCACCCTTTCTGGGCATTCCACCAGTGAATGTAAACTGATCCCCAAAGAGACCCCCAAATTAATCTTATTACACAGAACAGTCTCAAGCCACTAATTATAACCAGTCAAATCAGCTTGTTTCTGTCTTTGTTCCAGGGTGAGCTAGCCCTCTAAGAAACCCCAAATTAAACCTTATGAAACTCAAGCCAGTTAGTCAAAAAACCACTTGGCTTTCTCCTCATTGCAGGCTTGGCTAGTCCTTCAGATGAGCCAAATTTAAATATATGTTGTTTATTAACTGCCTGCTGAGGTAGTATGCTTTGATGTCAGTAAAAGGGATCTCATACAGGGTACTTCAAAAGGTGTTGTAGGATTTTCTTTCAGGGCTTTTTTCTGTATTGGTTTTGCCTCATAAGGACTTCCAGCACCAGTCAGACAGGCCTGAGAACAGTGAAGTCAATATATAAAAGCAAATTGATACATTTTCTCTACCAGGATATCTAAGTATCATGGCCAGAACAAATACAGGAATAATCTAATATTTGCAAATGTTTTTGGTGCTTAGTAAGGCAGGCTGAGAGCAGGGCAGTCAATTTTTAATAACAGTTTTAACACCCAGATCCAATGCAAGTTTTGCATTCTTGTAGCTCTGGTAAGAGGTAAAATTAGATATTTCTAATTGCACAGATTGGTGGTTTGGGCTAGATCAGACATTCAAATTTTTAAATAAGAAAAAAAAAATCTAGAGTTTATTATTCTGAATTACTGGAAGTAAAGAAAATAGGTTTGTCAATATATGTTAGGGGCAGTGTGTGGGGGGTGAAAAAGTGACTTCACTGTATGTAGTGTTACACACACTGCTTACACAAGCAGTGGTTGCAAAAGACCCCACAGCCCAGTGCACACAACCTCCAGTCAGGTGAATATGCTGTTGTTGTAAACACCCCCAAAAAGCTGAAGTCACTGTAGAACATGACATAATTCTGTGCTTGTGGGCTGGGGAAACACAACATTTGTGACCTAGGACAGCCATTTAGGTCTATAAAGTGCCTGCTGTGGCCTTGAGCACACCACAGCAGCAGGAGCCACATGTGGGTTCATGCCCTGGCTGGGCACAGCCAGCTGCTGGTACCTGCAGCTCCTTGGGAAGGATGGAATTCTTCCGGATGGCGTTGATCCGCAGCCTCTCATCTGCATGCTCGTATGCCATCTTCCTTCTCTTGACATCCCGCAGCATCCTCCAGTCCACGTAGTAGCTCCGCACCTGCCTTGGGCAGGGTGAGGGAAGAACCTGATTTAAAAAAAACCACATTTTTGATACCTGCCTATTGCACATAGTTTGCCCTAGTCAAGTATGAACTATTGTTTCCATAAAGAATGGAATATCCTGAGTTGGAAGGGATCCACAAGTACCATCGATTTCAATGCCTGGCACCAACACGGCCCCCACCATGTACCTGAAGAGCCTGTTCCAGTGACCAACCACCCGCACAGGGAAAACCTTTTGCTAATATTCAATTGCTAATTTGCTAATATTCAGCCTGACACAGCTCCAGACGTTCCCTCAGATCCTGTGTCTCCGGCATCGTTTACTCCTGGATCACACGTTACACTTCTTACACCTCATCGCTGTCTACATCTTCCTCACGAGGGGCAGCACCGATCTTTGCTCCCTCTGACGAGTAAGTGATGCCTTGAGAGCTTTAGCTTTCATGTTTTCCAGATTCTGTACTGCACCAGTATATAACTCCGAACTTCACATAAAGTTCTCTCCACAGAGAGACACAAAGAGCCCCAAGCTACACCGAACGCTACCTAACACCGGACCCGCGATATTCCCGCACCGCGGGGGCAGGGCCGAGCCCGCAGCGCTCAAATACTACCCGCATCTCCCCTGCCCGCTCCCTGGAGCCTCGGCTGGGCGGGCAGGGTCCAGGAGAGTCGCGGGGAAGCAAGGTAAGAAGAATGGAGGGGAGGGAGTCGGTCTGACCTGCCGAGCCGCCCTCAGCGCCCAGCACAGCGCGGCCGCCGCCATCTTGCCGCTGCTCCGCGCGTGCGCGCTGTGAGGGCGGGTGCTCGCCCTCAGGCCGCTCCCGCTGCGTTCCCAAAGTGCCCGGCTTTTTTAACACTCTGCGGCTGGAATTGTGGTGAGAGCCCCAGCCGCATTTGAGAGCTGTGCTATATATATATATATATATACATATATATATATATGTATATATATATATATATATATCTCAGAGGTGCTGTTAGGGATCGCTGGCACCGCCCGTCATTGGAGGCAGCTGAATCTGCCACACAAACATCAGAGGCCGGCCTTGGGTGCAGCAAAGGTATCCCAGATCGAAAAGGAACGGCTGTAAAAATGACAGGGAAAGTTGCAGGAAAATTGGCACAGAGGCATCGCCCCGCCGTTGTGGGGTCCCTGTCTGGAACAGCACGTCCTGCCCGCTTGTCCTGCTGTGGGACACGGATCTGCCAGCAGCTCTACTAAAGGCTGGGCTAGTTCTGTTTCTTAGGGGTTTTTGTTGTTTTTTTTTTCTCTTGTTTATCACCAGGACTTTTCCTAAGTTCCTAAATTTATACCTGTGGTTTGCAGGTTTTCTTTCCACCGGTGAATTTAGAATCTTAGAATATCCTGAATTGGAAGGGACCCATAAGGATGATCTGGTTCAACTCCTGGCCCTGCACAGGACAGCTCCAAGAATTCTACCATGTGCCTGAGAGTGTTGTCCAAACTCTGTCAGACTTGGCGCTGTGACTGCTTCCCTAGGGAGCAAATCCCAGTGCCCCACCAGCCTCTGGGGTAAGAAACATTTGCTAATATCCAAACCTTTGGGTAAGTTACACAGAAAACGCTGAATAATCATAACCCCAAACAGAGAAAAACAAATGGGAAATTCTGCTTTCATTGTTCTTGTTCAGTGAGGGCAATGGTCCTGTCCCACTGACTCTGACTTTGCTTAAGCAGCATTTAAAATATGTCTATTTCCTGATTACAGGGAAAACATGCATCACAGTTTTGATGTTGAATTCATAGTTTTCCGTTTATATCAGCTCAGCTACATTCAAAGAGTCATTCAAGAAGCTGGTTCTCTGTTTGTCAAGCTGCTTGTTGTTTTACATAGATGGTTCAGGT